CTTGGGTGAATATTCTTCACAAAGATTTCGAGTTGACTTTACAGTGAAGAGACATATCTTTGTACACATGGAGTATGTTCCTCTGAACTCTCCTCATGTTCTCCATATTTCTTCAAGGAACACAGAAGATGCAGGATACTGCCTTGTACTTGTCTGAACTACCGTCACCACTTAACATGTACTTAGTACTTACCTGTCCACTGTTTGATTTGGTCAGAACCAGCCATAATTTCATTTCATTGCTTCCAAATATGTTTTAATATCGTCCATACCATGGGAATGCAAAACTAGCTAACATATACCTCTTACCTTCAATGTTCCAACCAAAGACTATTATTCTTATTGCCCAATGAGAAAAGGATTATTAATCCTAAATTAGTATTTTCTGTCTTACCCTCATGCCAACATAAAAAGCAGTGCACAGGCACACTTTTGTCTTTCAAATGAAAGTACAGTTTAATAATAGCTGAGTTGTTGTGTTGAGGCAAAAGACTTTTCCTTAACGGTTTCTCAGTATGACTCCAGGAGGTCAAGGTTACACGTTCCTATGAGGAACTGAAAGTGTGAATAGAGAGTAAGAGTTCTGCCCAGGACTCTTGGGAACTTCCAGCACTGGTGTTCTCCAATACTCTCCCTTCCCTGTCACTTATGGACTAAATCTTGCTTTCTAGAATTTTATGTGGTTCACTTTTGCCTAATAGCTTCAGATGTTTCCACAAATATCTCTATCCACAGAACTGACGACTGAATATCACAGCAGTGACCCATGACATTTAAGTTCGCTCCTTGCTACTTAATTCCTATGCTGTCACTGTTATGATTTATTACTAAGAAAATGCATTGAACCACATGCTGAGAGCCAATGTTGAAACGATCTATCATGGTATAAAATTTTTTTCTGCCTAAAAAAAAAAATCTTCTTCTATCCCAGATGATGTTTTTGCTTCTTTGATGGAGGAAGCAACCCCATCTTTACCTTGGGTGGGGGCTATACTTCTTTAATATGCAGTTGGCTTAGCTGAGATAGAAACTCCACTTGCTAAGGCATGCAGTCAGTCCCTCTTGTGGAGCAAAATCAGTTTTACCTGAAGCCTGGAGGTGAGGGGAGAAAGGAGAAGGAATGGAGCCTCTTTTTTTTCTGTTTTAGAGTTATGAGGTAGTAGATGGCCTGCACACAGTGCCCTGTACATAGTAGCAAAGGTCATGCCAGGAAAAGAGAGGAGGTATTCTACTCTTCACTAACTGTGGCCATGAGCAATCTATTGCCAAGTATACTTATTTTAGAAAATTTTCCCTTTTTCGCAGGTTTTCAAGAATAACTAGGTTCAAGCAATTTTACCATCTGGGGCATTACTTTGAAAAGATGCTTGAGAATGAACACTAGTTTTCTTGTTTAGGAGACAAAATAGTGCCACCTGCTAATCTGAGGGAGAAACTACCAAAGATGTTCTTTGTCCATTTTCCTAAGGAACTTTTCAGAAATGTTTGGTAGTGCTTATCCGGGAGCCTGTCACATAGTAGACAAATGTTTGCTGAATGGCAAACAACAGCTCTGGTGAAGTTATAACAGCATTATGTTAAGGACACACAGATATAATTATGTGAAGTATTTGCAGACATATACTACTTCCTGAACGAGGAACTTTATAAATAGAAAACTAGGTCTAATGTCAAGAACCTACTAGTATATATAGCAAATAGGGTCTTTTCCTGGGTTTATGTCCAAGTTCAAACCTAAAGATAATCATAGACCATATTTACTTTCTGTGCTGTCTTTATAATAGTATTAAAATACTTCATTTTAGTTTTAAAGATTGATTTGAACCCCAATAGGTGGAGTCTATTTGGTGAAATACAAAGGCAGTTCTATTTCCAAAATAATGTCTCATGTATTAGGTTCAGTGGAGGCTCAGCAAAAGTAGAATTTCTTTAGGTTTAACTTAGAGATGATGTTTTAAAATATTAATGTACTATATTCATTCGATACAACTATGTTGATTGGCTTTCTGTGTGATAATATTAGAAGCTAAGTGTATTGAATAATTGCCTTTATTGATGGAGAATATAACTTTTTATGGAGGAAATTCTAATATGATGATTCATATATTTAAAAAAGAGTTATATTTTCTGATGCTCTGAGTCATATCCTATTTAACAAATCCATTTTTAAGCTAATAATGAAGCACTGATGAATATGAAATTGAAAAAAAAAAAGATAATTGGTACCAGGACTTTATTAGGCATTTCACTGAATACAAAGAAATTGTTTTTACATTAAGAACACAATCTTATCAAAAAAATTCACATTTGCTATACAGACTTTAGGCATGGATTTCATTACACCACATTTATTAAAGTATCAAAGACCAAATCCTAAAAAGAGAAGGCACAGATCTGTCTCCCTCTGGTGAATTTCTGATGTCTAATGAAGGAAATGTCACCAGTTCTGCAAATTTCCGTCCTTTAGAACTGAAGCAAATTAACACAAACCTGTGCAAGCATGAGTTGTGAGATGGAAATATTATAATAAGGGATTTGGGTTTTCCTAGAGCGTTGATAGGAATTTCAAGAAAAGAGGTAGCTACAAAAAATGTTTCAAAACTAAATGTCCATTCAGACTCAAGAATTCGCTGTAAAGAATTCACTGTTGGAAACAATAGTATTTGAAAGCTTGATTTCAGGAACTCCAACATGGTTTTTTCTCTGCAGACTCTTCTAGAAACTAGCCTTCTATCTCACTGTTCATATTCTGGGGGTTCTTGGGTTTCAAGTCCTAAAAAAGTGGTGGTCATTATAATTTGCTTCATCAAATCTCTGTCAGACGGTGGATGCTAGGGTCACATTCTGTTCCCCATCTCTGGCCCAGCTCCCCGCCTCAGTGTTCTGAAGAGACCAACCTGTGTCTGTACCTCACTCAGCCTCTTCTTATCTCTTCTTCCAGTAGTGAACAGAGTTCCTTTCTATGGTAAATTTTCTATAATTCTATATATTACCAGTTCTAACTTGGTAAAAATATTTGTGGTAGGGTATTACTGGAGGGAATAATGGATTTGTTTATTACCTCTTTGAAAGGAAAATGACTTGAATTTTAAACAAAATGCTAGAACTAAATTGGTAGGTACTACTACTTTCCAGGAGAATTTTAAGTATGTGGTGTGTGTAATGTTCAAATTACTGAGGAATGTTACTTGAGGTATTAGTGAGGAGGCCCTGGGCCTTATGATAGGCAAGTTAAGATAAATTTTGTACGTATGATACTAAAGATACTTGCTTGATTATTCCAGCTGTGTTTGAGCCGGTCTTTCATTAACCATTTGCAGAACCTATCATGGCCCGATACTTTCCTTCATGAAGGATAATATCGTCATGAGGTATCTTGCTATAGGAGTATGGAGGGAGGTAGATCTCACCCCCTATAGGTAGCCCAACTAAAAAGGATAGAAAGGCATATGATTAGGGTGGCCAAATTTAGGGAAAATTATACAAGAGATATTCAGTTAAATTTGAATTTTAGAAAAGCAACATTTTCTTCAGTATGTCTGATGAAATACATGGGCAATACTAACCCTAAAAAAATTCATTGTTTATCTGAAATTTGAATTTCACTGGATGGCCTATAGTTTATCTGGCAGCACTAAATATTGAAAAGAAATAATTGAGGATAAAGAAAAGATGGAAATGAAAATATTAGTAATATACCCACATTCCAAGACCAAATGTTACAGGGGTGTTTTTTTGTTTGTTTTTTGGTTTTTTTGGAGACAAGAGTCTCACTTTGTTGCTCCTTGGTAGAGTGCTGTGGTGTCACAGCTCACAGCAACCTCCAACTCCTGGACTTACGTGATTCTCTTGCCTCAGCCTCCCAAGTAGCTGGGACTACAGGTGCCCACCACAACGCCTGGCTATTTTTAGAGACCAGGTCTTGCTCTGGCTCAGGCTGGTCTCCAACCTGTGAGCTCAGGCAATCCACCTGCCTCGGCCTCCCAAGTGCTTGGATTCTAGGCATGAGCCACCACTCCTGACTCCAAAGGTTACAGAGTTTTTGCTCCTAGGATGAACCCATGTAGATCTCCAAATTAGACATAAGTTTTTTAGTGGTAGGCCACATATACAGCAGATAGAAAAGCTGTAAGAGGGTTGCATGCTGTTCTTAGAGAAAGGAACCATGTTGGAACCACCTAATATTAATGAGCCGTTAGCGGCTCTCAGAGCGCCAAGGCAATTCATCATAACCGAGAAGATTCAATTTTTAAGAAGTAATGGCTCGGAGAAAATAAAATTTCATGGAAAACTTGTCCCTACAGCAAAATGGGTTTCATGTTGGGAAGAGCATCTTTAGAGGTGTACTGGTTCTGTTGCTGATACAGGTGAATGTAAAACTCTATTTATACGATCGTGAAGTCAAAAGTTAGTTGATGTTTGACCATTTTGAAAAGCCTGGTGCTCCACCAGCTGCACAACTTGCTTGTGGAACTCCTATCAGTTCTGAAGCACATTCCTCACAAAATTAAAGGAGCCATTTTGAACAGAAATATAATGTCTGTTTAAATCCAAATTGCAAAAATAACATCAAAAATGGCAACCAATTAAGGCTAATCATAATGTGCCCTTTTTTTAGGATGTTTGATTTTTGATAAGATACAATATACTCACACTCACACAGCACATAAAACCATGTATTTTTGACTCATACAAATATACATTTAGAACTATCTACAAAATAGTACCACAGTGAAATAAAAATTACACAATTTTAAACAGATTCAATCAACATGTTTTACAAATTCTACAGAACATTTTATTGTTGTCATTGGGAAAACAATTTAGAGCTTTGAAACTCTATGTAACACAGGAGCCACCAATAAGTTATGGCAAATATAGCATTTACACCATGATGCCACTGAAATCTAGTTGAAAAGACTAAAGTGCTGTAAAATACAATGCTTTTAAAAACCTTGTTTAGCATATCCTGAGGGACACTGTGCATTATTTTCATTTAGCAATTCAAAATGTGAGCAGCCTGCCTATGGAGATGCTGTTTGGCAGAGGCGTCAAAATTTAGAAGATTGAGTTATTGGATAACTGCAGAACCGAGAAACTTGTGGAAACACACATTTCCTGAGACTTCCAGCTTTCTAGTCTGGAATCCGAACAGGGAAGAACCTGAACAGGTAACTCTGGCTAAATACATGTGAGAACCTCAAAGGAACTTAAAACATCTGTAAGTGAAGAGGTGTGTGCGTGTTTGTAATTTCTATTTAACCCTAGCTTAGCTTCTCCAACTTGGGGTATAATTGATAGTGTTGCGGGCAGGTATTTCTTGTCTCTGATGGTCTCATTTTTCATCATTTTTTGAGTGATTTTTCTTTTCTCAAGTATTAAAATATTTAAATTATACTTATGGCTACTAACATAGGTGATATTGATTGTAAATATTAAAATGGCAATAGATTCAGATTGATTAGAGTGCAGTTTCAACTTCTGTAATGTACAGTGGGGTGTGTGTGTGCGTGTGTCTATACACAGGTGCTTGCATGCCAAACACTTTATGCTCTAATACATTCACTGTTAGGTGGCGCTCCATGAAAAGGGAGTTTTCCCAGTATGGCTGAAAGTGAATATTGAGGTCACCATATAGAATATCCTAAGGCTTATAAAAGATGCCCCCTCATCTCTGCATTCACATGATTGTGTAGTAATAAGGGAGACACAAAGGATGATGAAGGGACCTGTATTTACCGTATTGGTCCTTCAAATTACAGACAGGAAAATACGAGGCTCTTTGCATATTTCCCCTCATCCCACCCACTCTGTCGATTTCCTGTTGTAGATGGAGGAAAGGTTGAATTGTACTACATATGTCTAGGTTTTGTTTGTTTCTAAATTTGTTTTGGTTTGATTTTGGTTTTTTTGGTTTTCTTTCTTTCCTTTTTTTTTTTTTTTTTGCCTTGCAGGACCTATGAAATAAAGTCTTAAGAAACAAGCAAAAGAAAAAGTGCACCAAGATGTATCTACTGCCATCTCGGGGCCTATTTGTAGCCCTTGTGCTCCTAGCTCTGAAAAGACAATGCCCAGCTAAGACAAACGTGAGCTTCCACGGCAGGGCACTATTTCTCACTCCTTGAAGGCCCACAGCCTGCTCCCTATGTGTGCTCCAGACAGCCAAAGGCACGTTCTCCCCTCTCCCCTGCTGGTGAGCTCTCCCTCTAGCAGTCTGGAGGACCCACAGTTCACTCCTACCTCTTCCCCCCCCTTTAGAAATTAAGGCAAATCCATTTACTCTCCGTGCCTGGTACATAGGCACTGTACGTCCACATAGGAACCACAGCAATGAGAGGAAAGTACCTCTTGTCTACCAAGGTTGATGGGTGCATATCATTAACAGCAATAAAAAACTGTCCTCTGTTAAGAAACTGAACAATTATTCTAAAGCCTCAGCCTCTTTGTTTTTTCCAGCACCCAGATGACAAATAGAACAAAGTTAATCCAAAGAAAGCATTATAAGAAAGCATCTAAGTTCAAGAAAATACAACATAGTTACCTCCATATTATATTTTTCATTAATATGTTGAAAAAAATCTGTCTTCCATCATACTTATATAAGTTAAGTCCTTGTGTCATTGAGAGTGTGCTTGGCTAAAGATCCTCCTGAGGGATGAGAAATGGATAGGTAGGTAAAGACAAAGTCTGTCTTCAAAGCAAATTTACAGGACACAAACCCATAATCTTGTAAATTCATATAGTGCCCCGTAAAACGATGGCAGATAGAAAGACAATAAAACTATAAGAGGAGAGAAAATGAAAGATGAAAATAACTATATTTCATAAACAATTATGTTTCAAGCCAGATTTTTCTTTGGCAAAATTATTTTAATGTGATCAACAACTCTACTTTCAAAGTTCTTACTCTTTCCCACATGTTATTAAGGGTTTCAGTCTTAAAGTTAAATTATTTAATGTTATCGATGTTTTCATTTGAAAAGAATTATACTGTATCTGTCCTTATCTCTGTGTGTCTGTGTATATTTATATTTGTCTGCCTGCACGGAAGTGGGTATATGATGGTATATCGCGGATGGCAAGATAGAGACACACAACTGGGACATTTAAAATACCTGTTGTGTGTATGTACATGATATTTGGTCCATCACACCTACCCACACACACCTCAGGAACATTCTTTTCAGCACAAACAATTTCTCTTCCTGCAGTTGCTAATAAAGTACTATTTTCTGATAATAAGTATTTATAATCTTGAAGTCAACTCTTGATTATTTATAATCTTGATACAGATAATCTTGAAATCAACTCCCTTATCTAGGTTTAAAAGATGAAGCCATATGTGCTGCATTTAAATTAATTAAAAGCCGAGGGCATGCTTTTATTTCTCCATAATGCTACTTGGCATGGACTCTATCGTCCCAGGAAACTATTGAGGTGTGATTATTTCTAAATATGAAAATAAATAAAATCATTCATAATACTAAGAATTTCAGCAAATTTAACAATTTTTCATATGCCCCACAGTATTCCTGTGAGATATATAGGTAAGGATTATTGTGCTCTCCTTAGGATGTTTTCTAGAATTGTCAAATATCACAAAGACACCAAAGAGGAAGCAGCACTCAAAGATGTGTTATCATTGCTCTTCTGTGTAGACCTGAACTATCAAATGGTAGGCCACAGAAACTTCGCGTGAAACTTTTGCCACTGCCTCAGTCTCATCCCCGAGATAGAATGAAACCCAGACGTGATGATTCAGTGCTAATTTTAAACAAATCTTCCCAGACCACAGGTCTTTCAAGAATTTCCTAAAGATATTTCGTAAGTCCTTGTGATTTCATAAACACGGTTTCTAAATCGTGGCTCTCACTCCTTCTGCCACCCATCTTCTTTCCTCTCTTCAAGTTGAAAAATTGAACTTAAGCTTCTTGAGAAATGTTCCTCACAATCTGAGATGTAGAATTACATATTCAAAAATATCTCAGTTTGGTAGGAAAGCTTGTGCAGCTTGTCAGTTGTTTCTTTTTTTCCTTTCCTTTATTTGTTTTATCAAGAGAATGTTAAGAGGGATTTTGTAAGAGTGCTTTTCAAGGTGTTGGATTTTAAAACACTTGCTGTACTTTGTAATTGACAGGACCTTTGCAGGGCAATACTAAGAGATCACTGAATCAAAATGCTATCCACATCCCTCATCTCCAGCCATTATTCACTATGAAGTTGGCATTCATGGTTCTTTCAAAAAAGTGTTTATTCTCTAGCTGCCTTAAATAGAAATACTATGAAACACTATTATTTTCATGTAACACAAAAATCACTGATTATGGCCTCAAATATTACTGATGCAGGAAAATTGATTTGAGGCAGGTTTTCTATGACCAAAAGTTAAGCTCTGATTGCCCAATTGCAGATGACTACAGAATATTATACCAAGTCCCACAAAACAAATAAATTTCAATACGACAATTGAATACACATAACGTCAGGCATCAAATTGGTTTGAATCCCATACAGCGTTTGATTGAAAAGAGCAAGCGAGGGAGTGGAAAGGTTAGAGGTCACACACAGTGTAGAAGCCTTAGGTTGAAATTAGAGAACACAATCAAGTAAACACTCCGTACATTACAAACACTAATTCTGAAAAAGAAAATTCACTTATCTTTTTTATCCCTATCACTAGAAGTAGATTTTGCTCATCAAACGGGAAATGAAATATTTATAGTAATACAGACTATGATTACAATCACTGAAAAAATGGTTTCCCCCTTTTCCCACCCACTACCATCCCTAATCTCTTCCAAGACTCAGTGGAATAGGAAGATCAGAGTGTTTACAGATATATGCCTAATACAATGAATCTCCTCTATCATATTCATGGACATTCCAAATAGTGCTATCAAGTGTTGGCTTCTCCTTCATCAAAGACATAGTTGAGCTTTATGACAGTGCTGATAAAATCACCAAGTTCTACAAAATCGGCAGTGACAATATTGATGCCACTTTCTCCTGGTTTCTGCGTGCGGACCCACTGCATCATGGCAGGAAGAGCTCTGAGAAAGGAAAGAAAAAGAGAGGTCATAGACAGAAAGGCATTATTCTTCAAGCTCAACAATTCTCAGACTTCCCTTTCATTTTCTAACTAATTAATATAAATGCCCCAAGTACAGGTATGGATGGGGAATGAAGGCCAAATGGACATGGTGAATTCTCTGCAGGAGAAATGTTCACTATATTGGTCCTTATTGGACTCTTCAACTTTCAACATCTCATGTACTGTGTAGTTTACAATGAAGCTTCTGCACTAAGAAAACAACATTCCTCCATTTATATTCTGAGTAACATGGTAGATTGCAAATCTTGCAAAGCTATTGGGTAGTGAGGTCAGAAATGAACATGTCCACTTGACATTTATTATTTCCAGACTATTTTCAGGAAGTATGCTAAGATACCATACATACACACAATACCAAAAGTCCTTGCTTTCAAAAAGGTCACAGTTTTTTGGTAGGCAGGTGGACAAGGAAGACAATTATAGCATAGTATGATCAGGGTTCATTCCTTCAAACACATTTCTTGAGCACCTATCAAGTTCCAGTCAGCATTGTAGGTACCCGGAAAAGTTGAGTGAACAAAGCAGATAAAAATGTCTGCCCATGTAGAACTTACATTCTCATAAGAAGTGACTGACAATATGTAATAATCATTAGTAAATGACATGGTTTGATAGGATGGATTAGGTGCTGCAAATCTGAGCAAAGAAAGGAGGATTAGGAGTACGCAGATGAGGAGGAGGGTTGCAGATTGAAACTTAAGATATGGTGGTTTAAAAATCTTCATTGAGAAGGAGATATCTGTGCAAAGGTCTGAAGGAGCTAGTCACATGGATATCTAGGGAAAGCGTTCTGGCGACTGCCATGGGCCCACAGTGGTAGTACGCCTAAGCTTAGAGAAAGGAAGGAGAGAGCAATAAAAGATGAAGGAGAGAGCCAATGAGGAAATGGGAGCACAAGGACACTATAGACCATTGTAACTTTGAGGTTACTCCGAGTCAAATGGGGGCTTCGAGGATCTTGAGCAGAGGTGCAGTGTGCTCTGCCTTTCACTACGAGAGCTCACTTACTACCATGGGGACATAGAGGAAACTCACCTACCTTAGCCTGGAAAACCAGGTAAAACCTTTCAGAAAAATTCTCCCTGAGCTGAATATTGAGAAATTAAGATTTAGCTGGGTAAAAGTGGGAATGGGTGATGGAGGATGATGCAACACATTTTCAAGTGGAGGAAATTTTTCATTTATTGATTCATTGACAGAAGCATGCTGTGTGCTTAGGAGAGGGGATGCCGGCAGATGCACACGGTGGTGGGGTAGATGGTGTGCAATATCTAGGACAGCACAGGGAGTGGAGTCTGCTGTAACTTGAGGGGGGTTGGGAAGGGAGGTTTCTATGATAGAGGGATAAATAAACTGAGGCCAGAGAGATGATAGTGTGTTAACAAAGAAGTGTGAACATTAAATTCCTAGAAAATAAGGAGAGAAAGAGAGAATAAGTCTAAGAACCTCAAAGAAGTTGCATGGAGATTTAAGGAAGTCTTGAAAGATATTGGAGAAGGAAAAAAACACATTAGAGTGGCTTGTCAGATGCATAACCAGTGAAAACTGATAATCAGGGAATACCGTAATTAGATTTGTGATTGAGAGAGTTTGGTTTGTTTTTAGTGGAGATACTGAGAGAGAACAAGACTAGAGTGAGGAACAGCAAATAGTCACCCAGACCAGAGGTAGTGGTAGCCTGAATTGCAGTACCTGCCATGGATATATCTGAAAGGGACTGAGAGGACAAAACAACATCAGGTGTGGAATTGGGTGTAGATGGAGGAGAAGGAAGAGGCTATGAATTACACCTAGATTTCTAGCCGTATTCTGGTAGGTGGACATCATCGGAGTGAAAGCTTTCCAGCAGAGGTGATAAGTTCAGTCTTACACGTGTTGATTTTGAGGTCACTTTGGGACACATGAGATGAGATCTTAAGGGGCAGTTAAATGCAGATCTGGCATTCAGGACAGAGAGCCACACATAAGCCATCAGATGTAGAGGACAGCTGAAGCCATGAGAGTGGATAAGATGACCTGGAAAGATTATGTGGAGGGAGAAGGGAGGAGAACATCTGAAGATGAATAGTGTTTAAGGGTAGAAAAGTAGAGTCAGTAAAAGGCAAAGAGAAGTAGGTATAGAAGTAGGAAAATCAGGGCCATTGGTGTGAAAAATCAGGCCAGTGTTGTGAAACTCAAGGAAAGAAGAAAGTCATGCTCCTTTTGAATACTTAAAAGAGTTGAATGAGGCTGAAGTAGGAAGTGCAATCCATGTACATTTCACCAGTCCTGAGAAAGCATATTAGTCTAAAGAAACTCAACCCATCCAAGCAAAACTGTGCCACCTGCCTTGGACTACACTAATTCTTTGGGTAGTGCAAGATTAAAAATCCCTGATTCATAATTTCCAGTAAATGCATTTTTATTATATACATTGTCCTGATAAAGGATGATCCAGTTGCTTCTAAAAGAGCATAACATGGATCTGAAGGGCCCAATTTCTTCAGAAAATAGCCTAGCAGGTAAGGAAATCCGGTCTCCACAGCAATAGTTTCAGGAGAGAACCCTATCTTAAAATGAAAACGTAGATCCCTGAAGCACAGACACAAGTGCTTTCGAGTCTGTTAGAAAGACAGCTGCTGGGGCGATGCGTGTGCAGCCACCCAGGGTTGCATCTGCTGCCTTCTCTTCTGGCCTTGCCAGCGCAGGTGAGGCAGGTGGTGCAGCATCACCTGTCCACACATGTTAGAGAAAGCAGTGGGAAAAGTACCACAACTACTGCGTTTCCTGGAAGTAATGATTTTTCTTTCTTTTTTAAATTGCACATTAGTATGAGGATACAGATGATTAGGTTACACTGTTTGGATTTGTTAGATAAAATCCCAGTTGTGCTTGTGCCCCTGTCCCAGGAGGTGTGCCATGTGCCCTTACATTGTGCCTGTCAGGTGACAGAACACCAATCTCCCTCCCCCTCCCCGCTCCCACCTCCTCCCCACCCCCACTTCAGTTTAATTGTGTTTTTCTCTCCTGTGGGCATGGATTGAAACAATGATTTTTCACAGACACACTCACCTTGGGAGGGGAGAGGTGGAGCAGATAAGAGCGGTGCTGAGCTCAGTACTGGTTCTGTATTAGCCCTAACTGAACGGCTCGTTTGCTAGATCTCTTGGGTAGGAGGCCATGGGAGGTTGCTGAGCAGCTAAACTCCCACCTTAGAACCAGAACCAGCATAGAAATAACTCGTAAGATGCCTGCGATGACTCTGAAATCAGAGTCCCTTGGCCTGGATTTAGAACAAGTTGTTATCTCCACGGAGAGGGGCAGGAGAGCACAAGAGTGTTCTTTTCTGTTTTTCCATAAAATAGATTGCTTGGAGGATTGATGAAGCACTCTTTTGGAATAGCTTGTAGTCCTCAGATGAAATATGAGTATTACATTTAAAATATCATTCCTCTGAGTCATGGGACTATTTCTATTTTCTGTTCAGGCACATTTTCCTAAAGTCAATATGATACTAAAGACAGAAGAAGCAATAGCACCAAGTTAAATCCCAAATACTCAGACAGTCTTAAGTACAATTAGGATAAACAGAGAGACGCTCTATAGTGGATTAAAACTAGCAAATGCTACTGAAGTTACCACAATTATCTGGAGTAGCGGATCTTAACCTTTTTTTCATTATTGTCCCTCAAGGACATTTTTGACTGTTTTTTTCCTATTTGCCTTGTTCCTCCATGAAATTCTCATACTACAGATAGATTGCATATCCGTGTATGTATCTGTGTTTATACTGTGCTTTAGATAAGAGGAATACGTTTTTTATTTTCTCTCTTAAAAACCAACGTTTGCCCCCTCGGGAGAAATAGTGCCATTGAGAATGTACGATTTACAGCTAATTGACAAACTCCTGACTATGGTTAGTGTTGGACAGATGATGAGAAGTTGACAAGTGGCTTTGATGGCAATAAAATAGCACCAATCTAACAATTTCAAGGTATAAGACTACCTGAGTTGGTTCAAAATACCATAACCTGGGCAGCTTATAAACGACAGAAATTTCTTTCTCACAGTTTTGGAGGCTGAGAAGCTCAGGGTTTAGGTGTTGACAGATTTCGTGTCTTGTGGGGGCTTGTTTCCTAGCGTAGAGATGGAGATTTCTCACTGTGTCCTCACATGGCGGGTGAGAGTGAAAACAGCCTCCCTCGGTCCTATTTTGTAAGAGCACTAAATTCATTTACAGGAACTAGGCCCTCTAAACCGAATTGCCTTCCAAAGGCCTCACCTCTTAGTACCGTCACCTTGGATGTTAGGATTTCAACACAGGAATTTGGAGGAGGTGGACATAAGAATTCAGATCACAACAGACAAACTGATCAATCTTTAATTTCTCCAAATCACCTATCCATTCATCCAGTTACCCTTCCATACATCCCACAAAGATGTATTGCACACCTGTGGGAACACACCTGGAGCAATCCCAAGGGTTCAGCCTTTCCTCCTCTCTTTTGCAGAGGTGTGACTACAGTCTTGCCCCCATACTCCTCTCCGTGCTTTTTCCACATGTAGTCAGAACAGTTTTCCCAAATGCATCTAAGCATTATTATTTCTCCACACAGACAACAGTAAATCTTCAAGATGCACCCAGCGACAGGGAGGGATAGATAGATAGATCCCTATCTCAGCTGCCAGATCCCCCTCTTCAGCCTCATTTATTGCTACATCCTGTCAATTTGTTCTCCAAAAAGACCAAAATGTTTGTATTTTCCCCCAAACACACCCTGCGGTTTCGTGTGTCTGTATTTTTTCAGGTCTTTCCTCTATATGACATACGACTTCTTTTCCTGGTACCCTTCTTGTCCTGACTAATTTCTGTCTACCTTTCAAGAAGGAGCAGGAATTATCTTTCAGTCCCTCCCATCCAAATATGAAGAAGCTTTTTTTTTTGTTTTTTAAAAACAC